AACGTCCAAGTCCTTCAGCGAAAACTTCGGGGAAGGCTGTTTTCAATTCTGTTTGTAAATTTTTTATATTGTCTTTGCTTTCACTAATGTTGTTGCAAAAAGAACTAATGGGCACGTCCCATAGATTGAACTTAGTGATTACGTCAGTCCCAAACCGGTTGTTCGTGTTTTTCATCACAAAAATTTTCATTTTTATAGTCTTATTGTTGAAGGTTATATTCACCCATATTTCACCTTCAAATTTTATCTTTTTTCCAGTTACCGTCCTGGCTATTTTGTTGGACTTTAGCAGAGTTGGCTTTCCTAGATTTTTCCATGTTTGTGTGTTAATAATCGAAATGTCAGATCCTGAATCCAGTTGCATTTTAACCTTTTTGTTGTACATTTTTACATGTAGGTATTTTCGAATATTCAGGTCTTGATCTTCATCTGACTTAGTAACTTTTACTCGACTTCTGTTTAATTTTCTACACTTGGACATCTTATGTCCTGCTTTCTTGCAATTTCTGCAAGCTTTATTTTTATATGGACAATCATTGTACCAGTGCCACTGGCCGCATCCATAACATGCACTCGGAGGGAGTTTTTTTTTTATAGTCTCTGTTCATTCTTGTAGTAGGATACCACTTCCGTTCAGGCGATGGAGAACGGAAACGAGTCTTCCTATTTACTTTCTTCACATTTGCGATAGCAGTTTCTTCTATTTTTCTGAATCTTGCTTAATGCTTACGCATTGCTGACAGTACTCAGCTAGCTTTTTGTAGTGTCATGTTTTGGTCATTTTCTAGCTTTGCTAAAATGCGTCTTCGCATTTCGCTATCTTTTTTAGACACTAAGCCTAGCACGAATATTAGACACTTGAAATTGTCCGCCGATAATTCGGACAAGCGAAAATCGTCACACGTCTTATTTACGATTGACGCGAAAGTCGTGTAGTCTTCCTGCTCGCTTTTTTGAATATTAAGGCATTTCCACCTTTTGTGAAATAATGATAATCTGGGGTTGAAGAGCTCTTTTAGTAATTCAATCGCTTCGTCGAATTTTAAGTCTCTTGTCTTTTTGGGTAATATAAAGTCCGTAAACTTATTATGTTTTGCCGTTCCCAGTTTTCGTAGTAATAATCTTATCTTTTTCTCGTCTGTCCATGTTTGGCAATCGACTTCATAAAAGTCCTGATATCTATTATATCTATGATAATATCTTTCGAAAGTCTTTTTTGCTAACTGTTTCCTCTTCTGGGTTATAGGTAAAACTTTCGATCGTCGACCATATTGTGTCTTGAGAAAAATTACTTTCATCCGAGTCTTTCTGCTTAGACAGTATAGCTTTATGTATAAGTTCAGTCATTGCTAACTGTTTTTTTATCCGTTTTCATTTTCTTCTTGTATTTTATTTTTGTTTTTTAGTAATAACGTTAGTAGCTCCAGAAATTTTTGTTTTTCTTCCTTTCTGAAAATTCAATAATGTTTTTCTTGAAAAAAATAATGTTCTTCTTCACTCTTTGTTGTCTTTGCATCTGATACTTAATGAGTTCCAGCATAGATGATTGAAATTGCTCCATGATTATGTATGTGTTAAAAAAAAGAAAATTATGTGTTTTTTTTTTTTCTCTCTGAGGGGGGGCCAAAAAATTAATCAAATTCTCTGGCACGACAAAAAAAATTTTTTAGCACAAAAAAATTGGTTATTTTAAGATTCCAAATTTAATCAATAAGTTAATGTCTAACTTACAGTTTTTTTTTTTTGTCGATAAACTTTTCAATCCTTTGCTGTGAAAAATGCTTGAACTCTTTTAAATTTTTCCCGTGTTGAAATCGTTTCTTTCGCTGTTGCGATATTTATTTTTCAACGTAAGTTCTTTTTATCCGTTCGAAGCCTCGTCGCCACTGTTGAGATGTTGGGAGTGTTCCCAAAGACCAAAGTGAAATGTATTCAAATAAAGACAAACACAGATGTAGGGAAAATACTGGTATATTTGAAGAGGTATTAGAGAAGGAGGAAACCCCAAAAAGAGTTACTAGAAGTTTTTTTATGGAAAATAGTGTCGGGATTCTCCTTACCTGGGCTAAAGAGACAGCTTTTTTTATGGAAGGGGATTCTCCTCGCTTTCCCTCCCTCACCTCCATCCACTTATGCCATCACATTGCAACCAAAAAGGTACGTACATAATACAGTATAATTATGGTAAATTTACTTCTATAATGTTTTTCTTTTCATTTGCACTTTTGTATGTTATTTACTTTCTGAATAAACATTTTTATACTAAAATATATAGTGTAAGAATAAGCATGTTGTGGGGTAGTTAATGGTGTTGGTTAGAAAAGAATCAGAAGGGTTTTTAATTAAGGTTGCGTTTTTACATTAAATTTGTAAAGAAAACACAAAAATGAATAACGAGAGATCAATGAAAATCAACAAGTAAACATGTATTGAAACAAGCATATACATATAATTCTGTTAACAACAATAAAGATTAAGTCACACGAGGTGGTTTCCCTTTTGTTGTGTGAAGAACAAATGTATGTTGTAATAATGTCTTTTGTTTAAATTTGTTGGCAGTTTAAGAATGTTTGATGTTTGAGTTTGAATGTTGAAATACTTGTGCAGAAGAATCATATAGTTCGAATAGTTCACTTGGCTTGAAAACAGACAGTATACTGTGTTGTGTGAGTAGAAAATTGAATATACACGTACGTGGTTTAGGTTGTGAAAATTTATAATCTACTGAAGTTATTTCTTTAATTTCTACTTTATATAGCTGTAAGGTGGCTTCAGGAATGAGCGCGGGAAGGATATTGAAGAAAGTGTCATTTAATGTGATTGGCCAAAAATCGACCAATCGTTGATTTTTTTCTATAGCTAGTTTGGTAAAGCAAAAACACGAGAAATTTTTATGTGGCTCGTGCGATGCGTAAATTGTCTGTACTAAAGGTATTGTTTATTTTCCGTCCAATTACTGTTGAATAATTTGTGGGCGTGGTGTACGTAGGCGTCCACTACAATGTAAATAAGTGCTTGGAAACGAAGTAACCACTTTTGCATTTAAATGTAATGGGGAAAATGATTCAGTTCTTGAACAATTCGGTTTTCTGACTTTCAGAACAAATTATGTTTGAGAACCGAGGTTGCTCTCTCTCTCTCTCTCTCTCTCTCTCTCTCTCTCTCTCACTCACTCACTCTCTAACTTTAAGGAAAAGGATCATATTTTTTATTATGAAAATAGATACAAAAGTATCTTGTTTAAGAAAAAGATTTCAGGCGCCTTTCGGCCGATCACTTCCTCAGCGTCGGCAATATAAAACAGAGATGCTGATAAGAAAAAAATATTATCAACAACTGATATTAAAAAATAAATTACCCAATAATCATATAAGGGGAGTAAAGAAAAAAAAACATTACTAAATAAATATGTTCCCAGAACATATTTATTAATTTTTTTTCTTGGAATTGTATGTAGGTCACTAGCGGGACTGAAGTACTATATACGAAGACAAACATCAACAAAAAAAAAAAAAAAAAAAAAAACTGAATGAGGTTGTCAGAGTCCATTATATGTATACGATGGAAAGTCAAACATTATTCGCTCTAACCGTTTATTTATGTTATTGTAAAAGTGCGGATAATTTTTTTACTAACCCTCGTATAACAAGGATAAGAAAAATATCCCTTCTATTAACTAATATCTAACAATAATTCTAATACTAGAGTTACTTTTTAACTTATATCTAACCCTAGCTACAACTCTGTATAACGTCTTTTCATGTTGTCTAACCCTAACTCTAGGCTTACTCTTTAAAGTCTAAACTTAACACTTAATCTAGGGCGCTATTGTTTACCCGAGATCACACTAAATCTAACCCCAGTATTATACTTTACCTAATATCTAAGCATAGATATAATTTTATGCTGCACATTTTACCTAATATCCGTCCATAACACTGAAACTATTTTTGCTGCTTATCTTTACGTACCGTATAGCCTTAATTGTAACTTTAAGTTTACTGTTAGTAAACCTAGAATCTTACTCCAATCCGAGTTGTTTTTTTAATCATTTCATCCTAAGCAAGGCAATATAGCCGCTAAGACACAAAGGGGTTGTAGTGATTACTACTATGTTTTGCCACGCCTATATTTTTCTCAACTGTGATTGGTTAAATAATAAATAATAAATATCACAGGACAATTTACTGATCGCATTCATTAGACTGAATTTTTCCTACCGTTAATTCACAAACATGCTTTTGTTATAAAATCACCGATTGATTAATTTTTGATCCAATCAGATATTTTTCGTGTTCTTTCAAAATTTATCCCGCATTCGTGCTGGGAGCCTACCGGTAATAATATAAGCCCGGAATTGTCCCAAAATTGGACAGAAGAGTTGAAGACAGTAGAACTCAACAACTCACACGCGTCTACACAGACTATTCATTCTACTCACTCCGCACGGACGCACACACAGACACAGAACTTGAAAATCATTCACCATCAGTTCTTTGTGAACAAGCCAAGTTGCAACTGCTCTGTTAGTTATACAAAAACACACAACCGAGCTTACTGTATGTTCTTCTGAATACACATTCTGTTTCAATACAGAACTATTCAGAAAACTTGCTTTATAACATTTCACCTTATTCAACTAACAGATAAATGGAAACTACTTTCTTCTCCTTATTATTCACACATTACAAAAATTGCTTTGTATTTGTTGATTTTAATATATATTTTATCGTTGAAACACAAGTTAATAAGCTATCTGCACAGATAGATCATTTGTACAGAGAACGATCAGCTCACAACTCATACAAGTCCCAACGACGTTCCTGATCTAACTCTCGAGGAAGAAACGATGCGTATTGCTGGTATCATCGCGAATTTGGTCAGACAGCTAGAAAATGCACCAAACCGTGCAGTTTTAAACAGCAATTGGATTCTACATCAACCCAGAAGGCGGGAAACGCCAATCCCAACAGCGCATGGTGGTCCAGGCGACTTGCATATTAAAATTCGTGGGCGGTGACTAAAAACTGTTTAGCTCCGCCTCTCTCTATATAATCGGCCTCTACGCTTTTGAGCAGATGAGATCGGAGATCAGAACGGATAGGATCTGAGAACGCGTCGGAACGCGAGAGAAGCGGCAGAGAGAGAGAGAGAGGGAGAGAGAGAGAGAGAGAGAGAGAGAGAGAGGGAGAGAGAGAGCGAGAGAGATCGCAGATCAGGGACCGGAGTTCAGAGAACGCGAAGGAAAACGCGAAGGAAAACGCGAAGGAAACGGCTTAGTGGGTCTTGCTGATCTGGCCAGTTGGTTGCATGCGTCAAAAAGTCCGAATCGTACCCAGAGATAGAAATCGAACCCGTGCGAATCCTGATAACTTCGTCAACAAAGCTGAGAAAAGCCGACTGCTATATCAGGCTAGGCGGACGAAGGACCACGACTTATCTCCCTTAGTACAGCCGAATTTCGACCGGCATAGTGTCTTTCTCTCTTTGTGGCGTTCCGACCCAAACGAGTGAATCTCATTAAGACAGTTTGTATTCGTGCAATTCCGTTGGTAGTGATATAAAAACAGTAGCCTTAAAGGGCTCTTTGTATAGGAACCGAAATTGTTGCTTATATTTTTTTCTCTCTTTGTGCCCTTGCGGTTACGACAAGAACCTTTCTGCACAAATAGCGATTTCTTTCAGCGTGGAGCGCAGCCATTTAATTCATCCTTCCTCCGGATAGTAATACTGCTGTTCAGATCAAAAATTCACAACGTGGCGGATAGTGGTGGTTCCTTCAATCCACCGGAGGAGGACGGGATGGTTTACTTTTCGGTCAGAACCACCAGAGAGACAGGACACAGCTGTAGCCGACAGGGTTTCTACGTCAGAATGCTCATTTGATTACCACAAAATTAATTCTCTTCTTCTTCTAAATTTCCATACTGCCATTCCCCCTATGGCGATAATTATTAATGTACCCATCATTGCTGACCAATTTATCGCAATCTGTTCATCATCCTCCCAAGCCATGCCTTCCTTTCCCAGCACACTTAACTTGTCCCTTAACTGATCCATATCGATCTTTCCTATCGGCTTCATTAGCACTGGCATTTTATTCAAGGTAACATTGGGGAGTCCCCGCACTATTGGCTCCCACAGCTCTGTACAAGTGACTAAGCTTCTGTCAATCAATTCTATAATTGAATCTCTCTCTTCATATTTTTCTTCTACCTGGTAATATGGGGATAAAGAAATGGATATCCCAAATGCCGAACATTCCAGGGGCAATTTTAACAGGGATAATGGTGGTTTCACTTTTAGTGTCCTTGTGGACTGTCCCCCACATACCCTAGACAAGCTGATTGGTTTCTGTGTGGCCACTGCCCACACCCCGTCTGAAACAATGATAGCTTGTGGTAATGCCGTGTTTGCTAATACCTCCACTTGACAAGTTCTCTTAATTCCTTTTTTCCCTTCAAACAATTCAAGCACGCACATTTTGTAATTACCAGCTACATAGATGGGGCTCAATGATGTACAAGTCCCCAGAGCATCATTTCTACACTTTTTAGCTTCATCTGCTCTTAGCAACATGAACTTTGTTCTATCCGAATTTAAAGCTATGTATTCCGTTTCCACCTTGTATCTTGCCACCATTCCCAAACCATGATCTCCTCTGGGGCAATGAATAGGTAAATTTATAACCTGGTATATTTCGAATATACTCTCTATCCAACAATGGAATAGACATCAAAACTAATAGTTTTCCACTTTCCAACATGGTCACACATCCCAGCACATTATGATATTTCCACAATTCTTTGGTGGGATCCACTGGCAACCTTAAATGATGGGGTAATTCAGTTTGTATTACGAGTAGCACTTCCCATAAGTGACCCGGGGTTACTATGCTTGAGGACAGGTGTCCCAATGACAACATGTCTAAGTGCGCTCTCACATGTTCCAGCAAGTTTGTCAACGACTGACTAGTTTGTCGTACCTTATTCGTAATTATCATTAGTTGGAAATATCTTTGCATAAATTCCCTTATTTCCTGTAACTCCATTATTACAATTTCTGTATCATTAATTACTTCTTTCTCAACCCTGTTAGATTATTTATTAACCAATCTGGCTCTATTCTTGGCCACTTCCAACCTTGTCACATTTAAAATTGACACACCCTCCCTTGCCACTTGAGCCAGCATCCTCTGGTTTATTTCCACTTCTCCCAGTTTTCTTCTTATCATCTTCAGTCACTGTTCCCCAAACAGGACATTTAACGCTTTTCCCACAATCGGAACTACCGATCTCTTTTCTCTCGTCTGCAGTAGCTCTATTTCCTTCAGGTAATTTTGCATGTCCCTCCATTGAGCCTCTATCATAGTGGCCTCCGATTCTAGGGAATATAATAATCTGAGATATCTTCTCTCCTGGGAATAATCTTGCCCTACCTTCAACCGGGCTGCATCCAGCTGCCTTAGCTCATTTATCACAAATGTGATCAACCATTTCGACCTGGTTATTATTACTTCACTCGTTTCTTTTTTTTAAATGGTATTTCGGCTGTGCTTCCAAGCTTCCGCCATCGTCATCATCAGTGTGGCTACCACCATCATCATCATCATCAACCCGGGGAATTAGCCAAACCGAATGGCATCACCCTGAACTGAAACAGTCCCAGGTGACACGCTTTTCCTTGTCAGCCTCACCAAGGGCTATCTGCCAATACCCGGACCTCAAAATCCAACGTGGAAAAGTACTTTGCTTTCCCCAATAATGCCAATATGTCATATTAGTGGCAATGGCACCGCCAGAGGCTTAGAGATGGAATTCAGTTTCCTAAAATCCATACAAGAACGGTGCCCGCCATCTTTCTTGTCTACTATCACGATTGGGAAGCTCCAAGGTGAAATTGATCTTTCTATCATCCCAGCTTCCAACATCTTTTTCACTGCCTCTTCCACTAGGCGTTTCTTATGAACAGGTGTTCTATAAGGCTGCAATTTCACAGGGAGAGGAATCGCCGGTATCGATCTTCATTTTTACAGTGTGGATCCTTATCTGATTTGGCCACCACATCTCGATTATTTCTTAGCAGACCTCCCACTCTGACCCTAAATTGATCACATGCCAATACCTCTTCGTCTGCTTTCCTTCTGGTTGCTCTATGTATTTTCTTTTCTTCTCATCGAATTTCACTCGATTCAGAGTTCGCAGGGGTAGCGCCTTTCCTACCTCCTCTTCTCTCTTAACCTTTATTGTCTTGTGGGCCTGGTTCACCATCATAATGGGCACTATTTCAGCTGCCTCTACACAGAGTTACCTCATTCTCTTCCGGGCCCTTTTCTTCTACGGGGACCAATTGCAGGGTTCCCTTCCTTATTCTCTTCACTGTCATCAGCCTACCCTTACCTGACACCGTTGTTCTAGGGGGTAGCCTTATATCTTCCTCTACCACCACTGTTATAACTTCTGGTGGATCTCCCAATGGCTTTCTCTCGCCGTTTACTACCAACACAGTAGGGTTAAACTCGACGCGAGCCCTCTGGCCCTGAAGCCAAGATTGCCTCCGTACACAGACTGGGCGTTATGTAGAAGTTCTGGGTACTTCTCAATTTTCCGATTCTCACAGGAAGCCTCGCCATCCCTTTTATCTCCAGGGGGCCACCATCCGCCTGTGTGATCTCTATGTCCGCCTTTTGTATCCCGCCTGTATTTTTTCTCCCTCAGTAATGAAACAGACGCTCCTGTGTCTATCAGAGCTTTCATTGCCATACCCACTATTTTTACCTTACAAGATAGCTCCTTCTGAGTTCCCATCTCAGTGTTATCCCAGCCATAGGTGCTGGCAGCAACAATTTCCCGTCATCATCTTCACATAGAGGAGTTCTTCGTTTTCTCTGCCTGGGTGGTCCCGGTTGGACCCTTCCCAGTCTCTTTCTACCGTTTCTGAAAGCACAATCCCTCTTCAGGTGCCCTGGTCTTCTACAAAACCAGCAGTTGTTGGGCAGTTAACTGCAAAGAGGCCCACCCGACCATATATCCAACATTTCATGCTCCTTCTTTTTTAACTGGGCCTGTTATTTCGGGGGTGGGGCTGCCCTCTACCTAAGTGGTTCTCCTGGTCACATGTACAATGTATCATGCTCCTTCTTTTTAACTGGGCCACCCTCCATCTTATTCCCGGGGTGGCCCGCTGGCTTTTCCCTGGTCCTGTCTTCCAGGTGCAGCCTTCTTTAATAATATCGGTGGGGCACCTTTCCTTATCCCGCACCACTTAGGTGTCCCTTCTTTCCACACCTAGTACATCCTATCTTGATCAAAGTCTGGGGGGCAATCCCCACTTCGTCGGGCAGTCCGTTGCTCTGTGGTCCTCATGCCCACATGTCCAGCCCGTATGGACCCGGCGTGGGCTTATAAAACCCATGCCCTTGTCGACCAAGCCTTTCTTTTGTGATCCTCTTCCCACATCCCAGGCTCCTCTACCTTCTGCTTGACCCTTCGATTCCACACGGGGGTTCTCTTCCTTTCCCCTACCTCCCGACTTTGCTCTTGCGCCTTCCTACCTCCTCTTACTCTCTCCCAAACTCCCTGGCTCTCTTTAGATAACCTTAGCGGTCCTTCCTTCATTACGTCATGGCGAATACGCTCGTCACTGAGCGCCTCTATATATAAACCGGCCAACTGGTCCGGCATTACTGCATTGTGTCTTACTTCCTCTGGGAAAGCTAACGAAGACAGCTTCACTGCTCGGGTTCCCAATTCTCCAGGGATTTCATCTTTCAGCTGCGTCATCTTCAAGAGGACTTTCATGGCTTATATCGTTGTCCCCTCGTTAGCAAACTCCCAAGTCAGCAATACCTCTAGCCTTTCCCATGACAAGTGGGGTTCCGACGCGTTCCCTCTCGTGGCGTCATACGCCAAATACAGGGTTTCTCGGTCTTAGAGTTCATAGATTATGCGGCTCTTATCCAGAATTGCCAACCAAATCCTAACATTTTTCGAATTACCATCAAAGGTTGGAATCCTAGGTCCGCCCAATAATTTCCTCAAGTCTACTCGCAATCCCTGCTCAACCCCCTCTTTCTATATGTCTTCCCTATCCGAATCGTGGTCAGACATATTTAAACAATTCAAAACAAAACAAAACCAAAAAAAAAAAAAAAAAACACACACACACAATCAGAGCAGCAACAATCGAAATATTATTGGGGGATTAACCGAAAAAAGTATGTCACATGACAGTCTGGAACCGTATGGTTATAATTAACCAAAGTCCTTTGGTTCC